ATATGTAGTATGAGTATATGTAGTATGAGTATATGTAGTATGATATGTTGTGCGTACGTAAAACACGAGTGTGTGCGCTGCAGACAGCGGTAAAGCATCGGTAGCAAGTCGATCTTACAATATTTAATGAATAAAAAAACAAGAGCCGCAGAGCGTCTGGGCTCATCTGAGGTATGTTGCTACGATTATAAACCTAAAATTTCAGTCGTGCGTAGTGACACATTTGTTAGGCGCAGATATGCAGACACGCAGTTGCGTACACATCATTGTTAGGACACGCCGACTATCCCCCATGCCATTTTTGTTTATTTTATTAAATGATAATTGCCTTTCAATTCGAATTTGTGTCCTAGATTCACAGCGTAATAGATGTTATTTCTTGTTGTTTATTGTGTGTGTGTGCGCGTGCGTGCGTGCGTGCGTGTGTGTGTAACGTAGGAATCGATTTTAACTTCTGTATCTGTATGATGTGGATGAATATTGTTGAAGAGCAAATTACGGAGTATAAAGAAGGTAGATAAGCATGAAAAGTAAACAGAAACACTAATTGTATTTTAATACATTTTATTTTGTACAAATAACACACAAATATAGTACTTGCTGGTGCTAGAAATTCGTGACCTATAAAGTGTGGCGCAAATCCACTTTAGGCACCTTAGGTATCACGAAGTGATGCACAGATTTCTGTGTATCATCAACTGATGCACAGACTTTCCGTGTATCAAGGTGTCACGCCTTGATACCTAAGGTGCCTAAAGTGGATTTGCGCCTAAAGTTTTGTCCTAAAGTTTTGGCCTAAAGATTGGCTCTTTGCACGTCAGCCGCTCGAAGTAATACTGTTTGTTTCTATACTGGATAATTCCTTTAAAATGACTCACGTGTGGGTTTTTTGCTTGAACATTCATTGTATAGCATTTTAAATAGCAGTGTATATTATTTTATGATAAGACCAGTAAGCATTTACTGTATGAATATGTGTGAGAGTAAAATTTGCAAAGAATAAATCAATGATTGAACCAGAATCAGTTGTAGGTTCTTTGCCAAACTGTGAACAGTTGAATCTTGCTAGCATAAATTCAGCGAAGGATTTTGTCTGATTTTTGGAAAAATCGATATTAAAGTCGCCTACAAAAAGAAGTCGACTTTCTAAATGAGCATTGACTGTAACGTTACAGAGATGTTGTTTGAGATGTTCAAGTGTACATGATGGTGCTTTGTAGATGAAATATATTTGCAGTGGCAAATCTTTCCAATGAATGCATGT